CAAGCGAGACGGGATCGGGTATTTTCAGCATAGGATGAACGCATTCGATGTATGAGAGTGTGCGTGTGGTAGTCATGTGGTGGAGGGCGAGGGCGCAGAGCGGTCGCAGAATGGGTTCCGACCAGGAGATGGCGATCGGGTGATTGAGGTCAAAGATGGCAAGATGTGGCTGCATCCGGCGGGTTGCGGCTGTGAGTGGGCTCTGATCTGCGAGTGGGATAGAGGTGCTTGCATTGCTGAGTCTCACCTTGTTCGGTTCCTTCTCTGCGATGTGGCGAGAACCACAGCTCGCCGACGTCCACGGCCTCCGTACGTACATGCACAGCTGCGCTGACAACCATCATGGACTTTGAATATCAAGGTCACCTCGGCTTTGTTGACTCGATCGAGGATGCGCTCGAGACACTTCCGGAGAGTCCGGCCGTTACCTTCTCCAACAACGTCTACGGCGTTTGGCGCGGTAGCGATCAGACGGCCGACGTCGTTGTGGCTGCGGTGGCGTACAAGCGCCGCGACCTTGTGGCGATCAAGGTTGGTGGCTGCCCAAACGACAAGAACATCACTAGCAAGGCGTTGATTGCCATCGGCGGGTCGTGCACCTTGCTCAAGTTGGTGGATGCATCGAGAACCGTGGCTGTGGCCGACCAGTGGCCAGGGTGAGGGAGCGATCGGCCAGTCGTATGCAAGTTGAGATGGCGATGGAATGCGGGCATCAGCTTTGTTGAGTGCACAGTGGGGGTTCATGGCAGCCAGCTCGCCAACAATGGATCTGCGGTCGTCCGACTCGGGGGAGGTGAGGCCCATGGGATGGGGGTCGTTTGTGGTTGGCTTTCTAGAGGTGGCCTGGGGGGCGTAGGATGGGTGGCTGAGAAAAACGATTGGAGGAGGGTGAGGCGGTAGATCGGGATCGGGCTGGAGAGGATGTCCCAGCATACGTGTGTGTGTGTGGGCTGTGTGCTCGTTTGCTGGGAGCTGGCGCGGCATGCGCGGCTTGGGTGTGGCGATGGGAGAGGGAATGGCTGGGGTCCGACTGAGGCATGGATGTGGTGAGAGCGTGCACGATCTGGCGACGACGAGTCTGTGGAGGGGTGATGGCATGTGCTCGCTGTCGTCGAGCAACCGGATGTCCCATTCGTCTGGACGGAGCAGGGCAGGGCTTTGTTGCTTCCGCTGTTAGCTTGATGGCGAGCTGGAACCGTAGCGCGTTATCGAGGAAGAACGACGACGTTGCATCGACC